TTTGTACGTGGTAGAGCCACGCTGCAGCCACCTAACACAACCAACTCGTACGTAGTTTTGTACGTGGTAGAGCCACGCTGCAGCTACCTAACACAACCAACTCGTACATAGTTTTGTACGTGGTAGAGCCACGCTGCAGCCACCTAACACAACCAACTCGTACGTAGTTTTGTACGTGGTAGAGCCACGCTGCAGCTACCTAACACAACCAACTCGTACATAGTTTTGTACGTGGTAGAGCCACGCTGCAGCTACCTAACACAACCAACTCGTACATAGTTTTGTACGTGGTAGAGCCACGCTGCAGCTACCTAACACAACCAACTCGTACGTAGTTTTGTACGTGGTAGAGCCACGCTGCAGCTACCTAACACAACCAACTCGTACGTAGTTTTGTACGTGGTAGAGCCACGCTGCAGCTACCTAACACAACCAACTCGTACGTAGTTTTGTACGTGGTAGAGCCACGCTGCAGCTACCTAACACAACCAACTCGTACGTAGTTTTGTACGTGGTAGAGCCACGCTGCAGCTACCTAACACAACCAACTCGTACGTAGTTTTGTACGTGGTAGAGCCACGCTGCAGCTACCTAACACAACCAACTCGTACATAGTTTTGTACGTGGTAGAGCCACGCTGCAGCTACCTAACACAACCAACTCGTACGTAGTTTTGTACGTGGTAGAGCCACGCTGCAGCTACCTAACACAACCAACTCGTACGTAGTTTTGTACGTGGTAGAGCCACGCTGCAGCTACCTAACACAACCAACTCGTACGTAGTTTTGTACGTGGTAGAGCCACGCTGCAGCTACCTAACACAACCAACTCGTACGTAGTTTTGTACGTGGTAGAGCCACGCTGCAGCTACCTAACACAACCAACTCGTACGTAGTTTTGTACGTGGTAGAGCCACGCTGCAGCTACCTAACACAACCAACTCGTACGTAGTTTTGTACGTGGTAGAGCCACGCTGCAGCTACCTAACACAACCAACTCGTACGTAGTTTTGTACGTGGTAGAGCCACGCTGCAGCTACCTAACACAACCAACTCGTACATAGTTTTGTACGTGGTAGAGCCACGCTGCAGCTACCTAACACAACCAACTCGTACGTAGTTTTGTACGTGGTAGAGCCACGCTGCAGCTACCTAACACAACCAACTCGTACGTAGTTTTGTACGTGGTAGAGCCACGCTGCAGCTACCTGACACAACCAACTCGTACATAGTTTTGTACGTGGTAGAGCCACGCTGCAGCTACCTATATCATAGTAGTAGCCGAATGGGTCGATTCGACCGTGGCAGGACTACGCTCTCACGTGTTTCATATATGTAGACATAGTGAGTGTAGAGATCCGGAAACCCTTTTCACTGAAATCAAGGAATTCTGTCATAGTCCTCAGACGTGACAGCGCATTTGCATTTTGATTCTTAATTAAGTATAAATGTGGATGTCTATGGGCCACAGCATCCACATACCTTCAGATAGACTGTGTGCTCGTTTGTCACCCAATGCTATAAAAAAAACCAACCCTTGATGTCGACATTCAACGCATTCGAAATAAACGGTATACTACGTCTCTAGTAATGCTTACAACAAAGGTGTAATTTGCCAGCGTCTGTCTTTCCGATGTTCAAAGCAAGAGTGTCTAGGCTATCGTTACGCTAATACAGCGTGATTTACTATTCAGGACTTTATCACTATTACCACCAATGATTGTAGTCAAGTAACTAAAAGAGAAAATAAAAAATTTATTAAAAATGTTTCATGTACCAACATATTTTTACATTTTCATGCGATTCTGAACTATGTTCAAAATTTCAAATTTCTAGCTCATAGGGAGATCAATTAATAAACTGTTTTTTTATGTAGGATAAAGGTGACAAGTGAACACACAGTCTATCTCACGGTAAACGGATGCTGTGGCCCATAGACATCTACATTTATCCTCGATTAAAAATAAAAATTCAGATACGTTGTCACCCCTGAGGACTAAGATGGCATTCGAGTTAGTAAAATGTGTTAATAAAATATCACTATACCCTCCATCGAACGCTCTTCACAAAGGTCTTAAGCTAGACGTTACACTTAAGAAGACTGATAGAGATATTTATTCCCAGTTTTAATGAAAACCCGGGTTCAAATCCCGGGTCGGACCGAAAAAAATAGTTATTGTATTTTTGTGTTGAGAAATTCGCAGTACCAGGCCGGAGTCAGGAAATTGACGGTGTTTCAACCCCGTGCCTCGGAAATGACGTAAAGTCTTTAATCTAATTTCTCTCCGGTCGTGTCGTTTGGCCGGTCGCCGTGACTGAAGTTCGCTCTGGAGGACATTATGGCTATTAAAACAATATGTAGTAAGTTATTAAGCAATATTTTATATTTTTAATTCAAGTATGACAAACGAGTACAAACTAACGGAGACCCCTTTTAATACGAACGAGGCATTCCATATCAGTACACAGGGGTGACAATGCATCTATCTGCATTTTGATTCATAAATGAGAATTAAGTTTAGTAGTCTATAAGCCACAGCATCCACTCAAGATCAGGTGGACTGTGTGTACGTTTATCATTCTTAATACAAGTAAATTTTCGGTTTTCGGTTATCGTTTATACTACAAGTAAATATAAAGTCATACATTGAATACTTTTGATTCCTCATGAAGGCGTTCGTTAATAATGTGAAAAGTTCATTCTAGACTCCACTTAAGAGCATCTCACAACCGCACACTTATCCTAGAATTTGCTCCACCTCGTGTCTAGACGGAGTCTCAACGTTCAAGACCTCTATTATGAAATCGTATTATATAAAAGTCTTAAAAAGCGATTACGAAGTTGAGCTTTTCCTTACGGCTACTGGTTAAAAAAGAAGGCGAATTTGTAAGTAACAGGAACATTTTTTATTAAAAGCATATGAATAAGAAAACCTTTATCACCATGTAATAATTAAAATATTTTCCTTGTAGTGGTGGTGTAAGAATATTCACAACCCTTAACTTTCCGCGGGAGTTGTAAAAGACGACGGTGAAAACCAAAACAAGGAACGAGCGGCAGCATCTTCCTGATAACAACTCAAAACCAATAACCCTCGATCGTGTAGTGGTGGTGTAAGAATACCCACTACCCGATATCGTCCCATGGGTGTCATAAGAGGCGAAAGGGGCAGCAGCACTAATAACTATAAATATAAAAGTCTGCGGTTGTCAAACCACGTGCCAAGCATTGCAACTATGACAAAATACTCCCTATGAGGCACTATAGAGAAGGCCCATGTTCCACAGAGGACTTTTGATAGGCTATAATGAATTAATGCATGAATAAAAGAGTTACGCTTCGGATGTATTACAGCCGCAGCATCAGCACGAGTGGATTGAAGTAATAATTAAAAATTAATAATTAAATAGTTGTCAGTGAAAGGACCACCCTCTCTCAAAATACCAGCGTGAAATTTCAGCACAATGCAATGGACGAAGACAGGAGACCTTTGTCTAGCAACGAGAAATTACTCCATCTCAGTAAAGTAAAGTAAAGTTACAGCCTATATACGTCCCACTGCTGGGCTCAGGCCTCCCCTCATTTCTGAGAGGGTTTAGGGCAAGGAAGTGTCCGCCGCGCTGCCCAAATGCGTGTTGACGAACTTCACATGTCTTCGAAATATTTTTTTTCTTATTCCTCAGACATGCAGGTTTCCTCACGATGTTTTCCTTCACCGCCGAGCACGTGGTAAATCAGCACTTAAAATTGCAATTAACAATTTCATTGGTGCCGGCGGGGATCGAACCCGGGTTACTCGCGTTCTGTTATATTTACAGCGAGCGTTAACCACTGAGCTACCACGGCTCTATCTCAGTAATAATTTATAATTTATAATTCTTTATTGAACACATAAATTAGTGCATGGATCTTCGGAGAGTGGCGGCGCTGTCATTGCGCCACAATCAAAACACATCGAAGCCTAAATCGCGGTATCAAAGTTCCGAAGTAAAACAGTATATTATATAGAATAGGTCCGAACTATCACACGGAGCGTTGGCCGCTCCCCGGGCTGATCACCTTGCCCGGTGGGAGATCTCCCTCTCCTTCCACGGCCACACATCTGTATTTGGTTCTTAATCTAAAAGTAAGATATGTTTCTACCGTCCGCAGCATCCACTTACCATCACATGATCTGTATGCCTGTATGTCACGATTAAATAAAATAAAAAAACACAAAATAAATTTTGAGGGTTCGTTATAAACCCACACGCTATACGTGTAGTGAACTGTGATGAGTCAAAAGTGTGTTTTTATATGAATATGACATTTTTGAACTGAACTATGTATTTCGGTTGTATGCTGATGATGGTACACCAAAAGTCTTTTGTAAATATATTAATATAACACAGCCAAGAGCTTTGTTTTTTAGTTTTCGAAATAAAAACATAGACACAAACACCAAGCCAAAACGAAAATATGGTATTGGTATTGCTACCATAACAGCATTAGAAAAGTCCACAGCTCACATACGCCTCCCCCATAAAGTGCCTCATAGGGAGGTTTGTGCCATAATTTCCATGCATTTTTTTATTTTATAGTTATCATAGAGAAGATGCCACCGCCCATCTCTTGGTTTGTTTCCCTCTGTGGACACCCCCAGGACAGGACAATATTGTTTAACCGATATTCTTACGTCGCCTGTACACGGTGTGGTAAGGTGTGGTATTGGATAAGGGTATAAATAATAAGGGAGGAATATTTGCTTTGCACATATTATAATAAAAAAATATAAAACATTCAAGGTATGAAAGGATCCACTTAACGATATGCTGTCGTTCAGTTCAGTATTGGTTCCAGATGCGATTTGTATAATTCCATTTTTTCATAGAAATCTTTTCGTCCGTCAGCAGAAACCACTCTAATTTAAAATTATAAAATAAAAATAACTGAGATTAGAACATGTAATGCACAGTCTATTATTCGTCACTTCAGATTGCGTGTTTCAGTTTTAGATGTAATTAAATCCAAGAGTTATGACCACTGGTGTATGATCGATGGATGAGGGAAGTACGAGTTAAGGTCAAAGGCGATGTTGTCACTTGTTGACCTTCAGGAGACTGTCGAGATTGCTCTTCTTGATGCCTTTCATCAGACTTTTCATCAGTCTGTCGTTCAGACCCATCATTAACATTCTCTTCTTTTTTATCTGATGGCGCATTAGTAGCTTTAATTTCATTCTTTACAACAGCATTAAACCCTGTTTCGTCATCGGCTCGGTAGTGAACTGTTCTTGTAATTCCATCAGGCTGCAGAAGAGAGTACTGACCCAGAACAGTGTCTCCCCTGCGACTCTCTTGCTGTCGTTTGAAGTCTCCAGTTTGGGCGTCGTTCACTTCGTAAGCAAAGTCGTAGTTCGGCGGCTGCAGTTGAAACTGGATCGGTAAGTACACGGGAAATTGCGCTTGGTGCAGAACCATGCAATTCGTAGACACAATCAATCCATATAGAAATCCAAGATTCCGAATCATCTTGAAGCAGTTAATGGATCTTGATCTTAGCACTGTTGTATTGTGAATGTCATTATGACGGAACGGTCCTGGTATATATTAGGATAAAGTGAAATATAACACCGAATTTTGCAATATAATATGCAGTAGCTTCGGCGATATCAACTTAATGCTTTAATGCGTATCGGTAATTTGATAATTGTCGATTGTTAAAATAATTCTAATTTAACTGGTGATGCATTTAGTTTTGTAGCATTCCCTGTTTAAGGGAAATGATCAGCAATGAGTAAATGGCTGTAATGATGAAGATCATGATAGGATATTGACGAGACTCTGACTTCGATTGTGCAAAGTTCATTCGAAAACACAGAACGCAAATCCTACAAATTGATGGGATCAACTCTGTGCTCACTAATTCGTTTGACAATCGTGATTTGTACGTAGTATAACCACGCCGCAGCTACATCATGGTTGTAGCATAAATGGGTCGGCTCGACCGAGGAAGGACTACGCTCTCACAGAATACCAGCGTAAAATAGCAGCTTAATACAGCTATGTTTCGTATGGTGAGTGTAGAGATCCGGAGACCCTTTTTTACTGGAAACAAGGCATTCCATTTTAGTCCTCAGGTGTGACAACGCATCTGCGTTTCGATTTTTAATCGAGAATAAATGTAGATATCTATGGGCCACAGCATCCACTTACCATCAGGTGGACTATGTGCTCGTTTGTCACCCTCATTCTATAAAAAATGACTAGCGACAACTCTTTCAAGGATGCCGTCTGATTCGTTCTTCAAAAGGCCTATCACCGCCAATGGGTTTAAAAATATTTTAAGACCTGAATGTAAGCCCACACATTGTATTTTTCTGGTAATAAGTGTTACAAAGATGAGATAATTTAGTTTTCATACTATTCTCTTATTCATACTATGATGTGGCAGATATCCGCCTATGAAGCCATATATGGGTCAGTTCTATGTTCAGCAGTGGATTTTGATAGGTTGTAATAATGGAACAGTGGATGACGATCTGTTTTTTTTAAAGTCCCGCTGGGTTTCTTGCTGGTTATTCCCAGGACAGAGGTATTTTCAGAACCAGAGGTAAATTAAACGTAAGATTAATTTCTCCGGTTCTCACTCACCATACGATGCTTCTGAGCATTGATGTGCAATTTTTCGCTAGAATTCTGTGAGAGCGTGGTCCTACCCCGGTCGAGCCGACCCATTCGTGCTACAACCTATAGCTGCAGCATAGCTTTACCATGTAAAATTATACACAATTAATAATCCTACATCCATTTCCAATACGCAACGATAAAGATACTCTTACTGTAAACTTAAGTACCACTTAGGCTCATCCCTACGCGTAAGTTACAAAAGAAACACAATATAAAAACGTACGAAGAAACTTTTAAAAGTGCTCAAAATTTTTGAGTTTATACACCAAAGCAGAATAATATAAAAATACCTTGAGTTTTCCAAGCGAAATTACCTCACTCAGGTAGAAGTCGAACAACATGAAATAAAGTTTATCATTCATTATGATGTAATGAATTTATATTTCACTATGTGACTCATTTTTCTACCTAGAAGTCCATCTAGGTAGGTACAACTACAACTATGACAAATATTTCCCTTTTCAGGCAATCTATGGCGGAGGCCTGTCCCCAGCAGTGGAGTTTTGATATGCTGTAATGGGCAGTGAAAGAATATAAAGAAAGAAAATGGGAAATATCAATCTATTTAGCATCTCCTCAACAAAGATAACATGTTCCGAATCAAAAACGTTTAAACACCAGACAGTAGCTCCAGTTCAGTATAGTCTTAGGTTTATGCTTGAATTTGTTTCACGGTATAAGTCTTGTGGAAATGTATGGAATTTGACAGCAAATATCAAATTTAGCGAAGACTGGCACCGTGGCTTAAGGACTTCTTTCGTGAGAAAAACTCTTCCTAAATCATAGTTTAAACAATAAATCACTACACTAATTTTCCAATAAGACGGTAAAAGTTTGTTATTACTCTTTTTAACAAAAATGTATATCCTTTTTTGTTAGTTCATCCATATGAAACAAAACGTCTTTTTTTTCTTATTTTTCTCTTATTTCTGTACGGAATCACAAACATGGACCAATTTTCAATCACAGCTGCCAGTCTTAACAGATCCGGAACCGATCTTCTTCTGCGCAGATGGCTGACTAACCATTTAAGGATTAGAGCGTACGTGTGTATGTGCAAGCATAGGTGTTTTTTGTATTTCATTACTTTCATAGTCCTACCCCGATACGAAAAATTTACGTGTTTTTCGAAGCACGGGTATGTAACACTGCTAATTTGCTGACTCCAGGTAACTTCAGGAAACCGCCTACTGATTTCTACAAGGCAAGGACAATTCCCCTGGTGTTGCAGTTGCTCATGGGCGGCGGTAATCACTTACCATCAGGTGAGCCGCATGCTCGTTTGCCCCCTGTCCTATAAAAAAAACTACTGGGAATTTAGTGACGGAGAAACCCAATACTTCGAGACCCAAGATTAGAGCTCAGAACTACATTATCAGCAGAAGCGTTTACCACCACTAGAGCAATAAGACAGTCACATACCGTACAATTATACCGAGCTTCTTCTAATTAAGGACTTTTCTAAATTGAGATTGCATATTAAGATAACTTCGCGAATTTTTCCTGTTGTTTTCTGTTCTACGAGCCAAGCGACCGTTTCAATGCCACATCAGATCATGGATCCTCAATTTGCATAGAAATCCGAGTACAACCTTCAAACTTTCCTTTTACTTTGTACTTTAGCAAAGGAAAATATCAAGTTTCGTCTTGGAGCTTAAAATTCAAATCTCGATAAAAGGAAATTAAGTAATTCGCCTCACAATTCACTTCCACTTCGCTGTAATCAATTCCAGGCTTTGTTTTACTGAAATTCCCCAAACACGTTTATGGAAATCAAGTGAACGCGAGCGTCGAAAGAATATTATTTGTTTTTAATCAAGAAATTGAAGTGTATTGTATATTCAGTTCATAGCGGATCGTGTCTGTCGCTAAACTAATTAGATATCTTTTTAACACGCTTTTATCAGCTTCGTGTGTATATATTTATGTATGTAACCGAATCTTTTAACGTAATTTTCACCAATATGTGGACGGTCAACTGACTTGAAAATTTCCACTCGTATCAAGAACTGTTGACAATACAATAATTTAATATTATAATCTTATCCCTGTATCCTAAATATGATCACCAGGATAAAATAAAATAACTATCAAGATCATCACAGCTTTTTTGTGGATTAAGTTTTTTTACTTTTATTTTTTTATAAAATAAGGTAGACAAAACGAGCACAAAGTCCACATGATGGTAAGTGGATGCTGCGGCCCATAGACTAGATATAGACTAAGATGGAATGCCTCGTTTCCAGTAAAAAAGGGTCTCCGGATCTCTACAGTCACCGTACGAAACACAGCAGTATTAAGCTGCAATTTTACGCTGGTATTCTGTGAGAGCGTGGTCCTTCCCCGGTCGAGCCGACCCATTCGTGCTATAACCATAATATAGCTGCAGCGTGGCTCTACCATGTATAAAAACTTCTGAAGACAAAGGTGGAATGCCTCACAGCGTGTAATTATACTGGATCCTATACCCTTCAGACCAGTACCAGAAACGCAGGCACTGCTATTTGGCTCCAAACATAGGTAGGAGAGTGGTACCTAACATGTCGGAAGGCTTGGAAGAGAGGGAGCCCTGCCACCTAGTAAATTATACGATAGTTTAAAAGAATCATAAATAATAACTTTTAATGAAAAGTTAAAGCCGACTTCAAATTGCCAAAAAAGAAGTTATTGGAGCGGAGCTCCCATGGCACAAGAAAACGATTCTTTGAAATCTATCTCCTCCGTAACCTGTAGGCCAATTTACATAATTTTTCAGCAATATTTATAGCTCAACGCATACAAGGTTTGTAAACAATAAAAATATGAATTAGATTTTTTTTCTTTTAGTATCTAATAAATTCGCTAATTTACATCTGCGCAATGTCACACCATTTGATTAAATCTCTTGTTGAAATAAAGATAGTTATGACTTTAGACTTTTACTCCATTCCGTTTATGAGGTAAGCAAAAGGTTTTACCTTTCCATCTGCATCGGCCCTAGTTTATTTACAGCCTTTAGAGGTGGAATTTTTTCTCCAAACTTTTATAGGGCCACACTTAAAGTATAAACCTATTTAAGAAAAAAAGAATCATTAAAATCGGTTCTCTTTATCTGCGAAGATATCGTATGAAATTCCTTAAACTAAAAAAAAAAAATATATATATATATATATATATATATATATATATATATATATATATATATACATATCCTACTTTCCACCCTTGGGTGCCGTATTTTTTCTTCAAAATTTAAGGGGACCACTCTTGAAGTAAAGCCCATTTCATTAAAAAAAACTATTAAAGTCGGTTAACAAATAATGAAGCGCGTATGTTTAAGAGCTTGAATTATAAAACAACGTTTTTGTGATAAAATGTTTTAATCTATATATTTAAAATCAATCGTTGTCCGTTACTTTCGTTAGAACTGGAAAATGCCTAGATCACCTTTAATGAATTTTTGTGTGCTTTTGAAAGTGAGGCGGGTCGAACCATCCAGGGTTCCAACCGCAAGGTGATGCTGTTGTCGAGATCTAGATTTCACCCGGACCAAGTCGAGGCGGAATTCTAGTTATGTATCAAAGTATAAGTTTCAAACTTATATACGTCTAGGTAAAGACCTTAGTTCATTTCTAAAAGAGGTTTTATACATACTCGTAAATTGTTTCAAATATTAAAAGTAACCAGCAATTAAAATTTTCATTGGTGCCGGCGGGGATCGAACCCGGTTGCTCACGTACTGTGAAATTACAGCAAGCGCTAACCATCTGAGCTACCAAGTGAATGCTGATTTACCACGTGCTCGGCGGTGAAGGAAGATGAAAAACATCGTAAGGAAACCTGCATGTCTGAGAAAAAAAATTCAAAGACATGTGAAGTTCGCCAACACGCATTGGGGCAGCGCGGCCATTTCTTCCTTGCCCTAAAACCCACTCAGTAATGAGAGGAGGCCTGTGCCCAGTGGGCGTATATAGGCTGTAACTAACTAACTAATAATAATTTTATAAATATTTTTTATGTCACATATAAGGAAAAGTTACACAATTCACAATTTCACAATTTGATTACATTTGGTACAGAATAAGAAATGTGCAAATAGTGATCTTTGACTCCTGTGCTAGGAAAGCCTGCGTTACAGGAGTCAATGCTCTTCATATCTCGTCTATATTGTACATAATATATTAATTACAGTGTACAAAAATTGTGTGTGTGTGCTCCTTTGTTGTGTGTGTTTTACTTTATACTTTCCATCATGTGTTCTGTATCTTTGTAATTTAATTTATTCATGAAGTCCTCTATATATTTCTTTAATTAATACCTATAGTATTAAATTTTCGTAATTGTTGAATATTACCTAATTTACTATACACCCGTGAAGTCAACACGTAATATTGGCGCTCGCAAACTTTGTACGAGTCCGCACCGTGTGACAGGTCTCTCTCCTTCGCTGAGACGTTGGCAAAGACGGTACAACTTCCCTATGGTGCCTGAGAACTATAGATTTGTAGTATAATTGTCTCACAGTGAGAACCCTACAGTGTTGATACAAAGCGTGTGAGGGATATTTAAAAGGGAGAAGACAGATATGAATTAAAAGCAATGTTGTTATGTATTAATATGTATGTAATATGTGTAAATGAATTTTTCTTCGATGGCGAGTACACAGTTTATCATCTGTGTACAATATCACTGGTGATGGCGGCAACGAACTCGATTTTTTTCTTTACGTATGAGTTCTTAAGCCCTTCTAAACCTGTGGTATAAGTCGGAAATCATTGAGCAGTTTTAAAGAACTTTTTCCGCGAATTGCATCGCTGCTGGTAATAAGAGGCTAGTTTTTGTGTCGCTCCAATAAGTATTTAGCGAGGATACGCAGTCAGCGTTCCTGGCTATCGTGGGGGGACTAGAACTGTAGGCTAATTTTAGTTTTTTTTTTAAATTATGATAAAAATTTAGTATTGTTTCATGTTGTGTAATGAAATGTTTAAGAAAAAGCCAGAAAATAGATTTTTCGAAATGCATGTATTTACAAAAAAAATATATAAAAATTTAAATATTACATATTATGTAGATCACAGAAAACAACATACTTCGTCGGTCTATATTCACTAGAGTCCTTTATTTTCCCCTTCGTTTTTAAGAGCCAAACTCATGACAAAAAAAAACATACAAAACATTTAACAGGAAACGCTGAAGAAGGTAAGCATTTAGAACTTACAGCCTGGAGATGAACCAAAAATTTATATCCAAGGATTTTTAGCGTTTAAATATGCCCTATGGATAAGTGAAGTATGTGAAATAGTCAAGGGTGTAGGAGTCGCCTGCTGGTCATTAGGGGTCTGCCGAGATTCCTCCACCTGAGGCCTGTCATTGGCCTGCCTTTCAGAAGCTTCACTGTCGTTCTCACCTTGTCTGTTAGAAGGCGCGTTCTTAGGACTACGCTCGTTGTTCACCACTGCTTTAAACCCGTTATGATCATCTGCTCTATAGTTGACAATTCTTGTTACACCATCAGGTTGCAGTAGAGAGTACTGGCCTAACACAATGCCACCTCTACGACTCTCCTGCTGGCGTTTGAAGTCTCCGGTGTGAGGGTCGTTGACTTCGTAAGCGAAGTCGTAGTTTGTTGGCTGCTCTTCATACCGGATTGGAAAGTACTCCGGTAACGGCGCCTGGTGCAGCACCATGCAAGCAGCAGATAAAATGAGTCCAGATAAAATAACCAGCTTCTGAACCATCTTGAGATGTCAATGTATTTGTTTCGATAATCGCACTAAAAGTGATTAAACGCCAGTGTTGTATCGGTATATATAGATTGAAATGAAACACAATACTATATTTCGCAATGAGTATTATGTATCGTTATGAAATAGAACGGTAAAGCGAAAAATAGTTAAATATCTGCGGTGTTGGATTCCACCGTGAATTGATCTACTGGCATTGGCAGTATCAATTTATTTGAGTACATTTCAATCAAATCGAAGTTCACCTTGGGTGAATCAATTCTATTTTTTATTTATTTATTGCAATTGTAATAATAACTTATAATTAAATTTTCAAATTCATTTATTTATTTGTAAATACAGCGAATTATTAGGTGTTAGTAAAATTTACTGTAGGTATCGTGTATTGTACCACAGTGTGGTGTACAAATACATTGATTTTCGTTAAAGCCAACAAAGTTAAAATAGAATAGAGTTAAACATGACCACACGACTGCAGTAAAACTTCTTTAGCTCCATCTATATATCCTATATCTTTAAACGAGCAATTCTTGTATATATATATATAGTGTCCAGAGGGTTTCGAGGGCAATAAATCGATCTAGCTAGGATTCATTTTTAGAAAATGTCTTTTTGTCCGTGTTTTCAGGCAATAAAAAACTGCTATAATATCGTTAGAATAAGAAGGAGAGGAGATGAACTGCTACAATATAAGAAGTTAAATGATGACACTGTACTAATGATTGTAATAGCTCAAGTGGTGGCCCGTCGCGAAATCGTAGTGCCCTGGATCGCGTCCTGTCTTAGGTTTGACTTTTTTCCTTTTTTCTTGAAGTTCCCTTCTTTTGTGAGAAAATCTATTATTTCGAGCCCTTTTTTAGTATTTTTTTTTTCAAAATACGAAAATTTAATTGCACTCGTGATTTTTTATTCTAATATTAGCATTCATTGGCAAAAAAACTATCCTATCTCTCAAGTTGGACCAAACTGCACACGGTGTGCAAATTTGATTAAAATCGGTTAAGGAGTCCATCGCGGACAAACAACGTGACACGTAATTTATATATTATATATATATAATATATATATATATATATATATATATATATATATATATATATATATATATTAATTTTCTACAAATATTTAAGTTTATTATCAGCTTGCTTCCATAATTTGTTATTATTCACCTGAAAATTCACAAAACATGAACTTTAAAATGAATTTACAATTTTATTCACTTTAAACGTGGAATATTTAATGTATTGAAAAAATATTTATTCATCAAATTGTTCAAAACAAAATAAAATTATGAAAAATAACTGGCTTTGAGAGAAAGAGAGAAAGAAAATGTGCGCGCGCACTGCTCTCTCTTGCTTATAGCCTCTACTCAACTCCCGTTCGCCTCGCCCGATCACACTTTTTGGTAACACTTTCGTCACGCGTTCGCCAGCTTACTCCCCAAGCCAAGCGTGCGTAATGAAGTTTTTGCTTCAAAATATTCACAAAATACTATTATAAGTGAAAAACATCGTACAATAATACCTATGACATAAAAAATAATAATAATGTAAACGTAATAGCGCCTACAGGTCTATATTGAGAAAAAAAATTAAATACCTAAATAAAAACGTCATCTGCCAACATAAAATTAAAATAACATGCTAAATTATCATTATTTATCCAATAAATTATTATTATTATTAAATACACGAGTCAACACCAAATATAGCATCCTATGTTAATGTAATTAAATTAGTCGACATTTCTTAACGCAGTAAAATTAATGATTTCTTATATTCGTATAAACGTCGGGAATTAAAAACCAATTAAAAATTAAACGCGATAAAATCCGTAAAAGTAATTTTAATCAACGCAGTAAAATTAATTATTTCTGAAAGTTTTGAATATTATTCGACTGGATCGTTAATTTCACCGAACTTCTACTAGCTAGCTTGCTTATTTATACTCTAAGGTTATGACATATTAAAATTTTAATTTAAAGTTTAAGTAGTTTAATTTACCACTTTCAGTATAAATTCGATGATTATAGTAAAATTGCGAGAGAGAGAGCTTACAATAACTAAGAGATTACATTTCCAGAAGATCTATTAAAAGTTTTAACAATGTTATCGCAGTGTAAGAATATCCAATACCCCATAACATTCCCTGGGGTTTATGAGACGACTGAGAGAAACTGAATTAGGAGATGGATAGCAAGCTATTCCTTTTTACCTGGATAAATAATATTAAAGACGAGAAGAATTTTTTTTATTTAATTAGATTACCATCGAGTGTTACACCAGTAAAAATCTTTATTGCTAAAGTTTAGTATATATGACTATGTACATATTCTATGCGTGGTAGAGCCATGCTGCAGTTATATTAGTAGTATAGTTGTAGCACGAATGGGTCGGCTCGACCGGGGAAGGACCACGCTCTCACAGAATACCAGCGTAAAATAGTAGCTTAATGCTGCTGTGTTTCGTATGGTGAGTGTAGAGTACCGGAAACCCTTTTAACTGGAAACGAGGCATTCCATCTTAGTCCTCACGGGTGACAACGCATCTGCATTTTTATTCGTAATCGAGGATAGATGTAGATGTCTATGGGCCACAGCAACCACTACCATCAGGTAGACTGTGTGCTGGTTTATCATCCTATATAAAAAATAGGACATATTGCACGATCACTTAAAGGTAATCATCGCTTGCAAAATGAAACATTAAATAATAAGGCTCTAAGCTAAAAGCTATATCTCTAAAATTGTTTTTTTTTTAAATTTAGTGATATACGTCAAGAATTTGGTCATGGTCACAGTATTTGTTGTAAGTATGGCTCATTCTAGAGATCGGGGAATTTGATCCTAGTAACGTCCTACGGAATGGGCATACTAGCGGCTTGATAGGAGCACGAGGTATCCTCAGCGGCACTCTAACGCAAAACTCTGAGAGTGAGTTCTGGACAGCATACATAGTTTCTAATAATTTTATAGAAGATTTCAACTTAAAGTATTCTAATAATTTAGAGTACGAAAGGGGATTACTCAGCTTGCCAACGGAGTACGGTAAATGACGTATGAACCTTTTTTAAATCCGTAACATCATTAGGGGAAATAAAGCTGGCAATGACCAACCAGCCAACGACGAGTTTACTTCTCCTGATGATGCCCCGATTAGAAGCGAAACACGTGTAGTTATCGATGGTGGTGTGTCTCTTTCCTAGTGTAGTAGTGTTGGGAGTAGTGGCGACGGGATAGTGCACGCAATTGAGGGAGGGCGTGAAGTGCTCTTCATTTTAAGTTGTTAACGCATCTTACCTATATAATTTTAACATCTTTATTAAAATGAATTGACTGCCTCATTGGTCTAGAGGTTGTAGTAGCGCGACTGCTGATCATGAGTTCCTGGGTTCGAATCCCAGGTCAAGCCGAAAACTCAATTATTGAGTTTTCCGTCAAGAAATTCTCAGTAGTTGCCCGTCAGAAAATTAACGGTGTCTCACACCCGTGCCTCGGAAAACTCGTAAAGCCGTTGGTCCTGCATCTGATCTCTCTCCGGTCGTGTCGGTTTACCGTCCTGTCGGATTATGAAAGTTTGAGAGTCAGGGAATATAGAGTGCACCTGTGATTGTGCATACACTTGGGCACTATAATCCTGCGCCGACGGCTAATCTCAGTTGAGGCAGGCCATCGTGACCGAAATTAGTTTTTATAAATTCACAAAGTAATGCCTGATTGATTACATTACCAGCTGAATTTAAAAAAAAACTGCGGAGGCCTATGTCCACCAGTGGACTTTTAATAAACTGTAATGGTATGGTATAACATATTTAAAATACAAGACGTCACCACATGGAAGGAGAAGAAAGAAAGAAAGAAAAAAATTAAAAAATGACAAACACTATTAGGTTTGGTAATAGAGTTATACCTAGCTACGATAATATCTAGGTACAACAGGAGTAAACTATACTATACACTAAATAATAAAGGAATTGCAGCTACTTTACGAGGCCTTTAGAAATGAGTAGACACTTTTCTGGAAGATCCCTAAGACCCATAATACGGCTATATATAGCATTCCTTTTTGCATCATTATTATTCATGCCTTTAACAGCTATCAGTTAAAATGGCATTACTAGATGAACCTTTTTGATTGAAAGGTAATGGACCACGCTCTTACAGAATAAAATGGCAGCTTAATGTCGCTGTGTTTCGTATGATGAGTGCAGAGAAGCGGAGGCCCTTTTTACTATGAATGAAGTACTCCGTCTTAGTCCTCAGGGGTTTTTTTATAGGATAGGCTGACAAACGAGTACATAGTACAACTGATGGTAAGTGGTTGTTGTGGCCCATAGACATCTACATCTGTCCCACACATCTGCATTATGGTTCGTAAAAACAGATGTAGATGTTAATGGGCCACAGCATCCTCTTACAACCACGTGGACTGTGTTCTCGTTTGTCACCCTTATTTTATAAAAATAAATCCAAATACACGAAACCTACAACATTGAGTATGTGCGTGTACTGGACCAGTAGCGTCGGGTCGACTTAATCTCGCAATTAATCCGTCTCCGCATCGCTCGGGAGTCGATTAAGGAAACGCAAACTGTCGTTCCCAAATGTACACTGTACTCTAATGAGTCCCGAGGGACCACTTTGCGTCCTATTGTTTTACTTCATTAACTATAATATAATAGTTAAGTGTGATATAATATAGTTTCACAAGCGCTTCCGTAGCCTTATTGGTTTGTTGATTTCATATGTGTAAAGCTAAAAGTTGTCGGTGAATACAAATATAGACATAAAAACAATATAATGTCCTCCAGACCGAATTTCGGTCACGACGGTCAGTCGCAACGGTGACTAGCCATCTACACAATATTATAGTGTCCGAATGTATGCGCAAGCACAGGTGCACTCTCCTCTCTATACCCTCACTCTCGTAGCCCGATGAGAATTTACGTGTTTTCCAAGGAACGGTGGTTAACACCGCCAACTTCCTGACTCCGGG